GGAAATCTGTTTTTGCAAAACTAGGTTTTATTAAGGTACTAGGTCAGCTGACAGAGACTGGAGTTGTCAATCCTGAACAATTTATGAGTAAGTACTACCACCTTTTTTTTTCTGAATGAAAAAAAAATAAAAAACAAGATTTTATTTTTTTTAGAGATCTGTTCTGTCTATACTATATGTATTTTTGTTCAAATAGAAATTATTCAAATAGCTAATTAGCTATTTTTGGTCTCTTTAAAAAAATTTTTTTTCCAATTACAGTTGACATTCAGTACTATTTTGTATTAGTTTTAAGTGCATAGTGGTTAGATAGTCTTATGCTTTAGAAAGTGTTCCCCCAATATTTCAAGTACCCACCTGGCACCATACATAGTTATCACAGTATTATTGACTATATTCCCTATGCTGTTCTTTACATCTCTGTGACTATTTTGTAACTGCATTTGTACTTCTCAATCCCTTCACTGTTTTTACCCAGCCCCCACCCCCCTCCCATCTGGCAACCATCAATTTGTTCTCTGTATGTATGAGTTTGTCTCTGTTTTGTAGATGCCACACACTTTGGGGCAAAAGTAAGTTTACAGTTTTGAGTACACAAAAGTTTATTCTTGTATTATTATTTGTGTATTTTTCCATACGAACAACTATAAAAGTACTTTTGCTTCACCCTGTATATGTGAAATCATATGGTATTTGTCTTTCTCTGTCTAACCTATTTCACTTAGCACAGTAATGTCTAGGTCCATCCATGTTGTCACAAATGATAAGATTGCATTCTTTTTTATGGCTGAGTAATATTCCATTGTATACATGTACCACTTCTTCCTTATCCATTCAACTTTAAATTTTAAAAAAAAAATGTCTTTATTGAATTTAGAGAGAGAGGAAGGGAGAGGGAGAGAAAAAGAGAAGTCGATATAAGAGAGAAATGATCAGTTGCCTCCTGCACACATCCTGACCAGGGATTGATTCTGAAACCTGGGTATGTGCCCTGACCAGGAATTGAACTGGGCGACCTTTATGTGCACAGGACAATGCTAAACTGAGCCATACCAGCCAGGGCCAATCAACTTTTGATGGAGCATTTAATTCATTTACATTTAAAGTTTTGTTTTTTTATCTTTATTGTTGAGAGTATTACAGATGTCTCTCCCTTTTCCCATTAACCCCCTCCACCCACTTTCCACCCTGCCCCAGCCTTCACCACCCTGTTGTCTGTCCACTGGTAATGCATGTATATATATAATCTTTGGTTAATCTCTCCCCACCCCCAACCACCTTCCCTCTTAAATTTGTCAGTTTGTCCCATGTTTCTAAGCTTTCTGGTTCTATTTTATTCATCAGTTTATTTTGTTCATTAGATTCCTTGTTCATTTTCATTTTTATATTCAATTGTTGATATGCATTTATCACCATGTTATTGTTCATATTTTTGATCTTTTATTTCTTTTTCTTAAAGAAGATGCTTTAACATTTCATGTAATACTGGTTTGGTGGTGATGAACTCCTTTAGTTTTTTCTTGTCTGGGAAGCTCTTTATCTGACCTTCAATTCTAAATGATAGCTTTGCTGGGTAGGGTAATCTTGGTTGTAGGTCCTTGCTTTTCATCACTTTGAATATTTCTTGCCACTTCCTTCTGACCTTCAAGTTTCCTGTTGGAAAAACAGCTGATAGTTGTCTGGATGCTCCCTTGAGGTAACTAACTGCTTTTCTCTTGCTGCTTTTAAGATTCTCTCTTTGTCTTTAACCTTTGTCACTTTAATTATGGTGTCTTTGAGTTCATCTTGTTTGGGACTCTCTGTGCTTTCTGGACTTGTATGTCTATTTCTTTCACCAGGTTAGGCAAGTTTCCTGTCATTATTTTTTCAAATAGGTTTTTGATTTCTTGTTCCTTCTCTTTCTTTCCAGCATCCCCATGATGTGAATGTATGTGTGCTTGAAATTGTCCCAGAGGTTCCTTACACTATCTTCATATTTTTTATTCTTTTCGCTGTTCTGATGGGTGGTTTTTGCTTCCTTATATTCTAAATTCTTGATTTGATTCTCGGCATCTCTACTCTGCTGTTGATCTCCTGTAAATTATTCATTTCAGTTAGTGTATGCTTCACTTATGTCCTCTTTTTATGTTGCTGATGTTCACACTAATTTCCTTGAAATTCCAAGTTCCTGGAGGCTCTCATTAAGTTCCTTGAGCATCCTTATAACCATTACTTGTTGAGAGTATTACAGATGTCTCTCCCTTTTTCCCCCATTAACTCTCTCCACCCACTTCCCACCCTGCCCAGCCTTCACCACACTATTTGTCTGTCCATTGGTAATGCATATATACATATAAGATGTTTGATTAATCTCTCCCAGATCAGAACTCTATATCTGATAGTTTTCTTGCTTACATTCATTGAGGTTTTCTTCTGGAGATTTCTCCTGTTCTTTCATTTGTAACATATTTGTCTCGGCATTTTGGCTACTTCCCTGTGTTTGTTTCTATGTATTAGGTAGAGCTGCTATGTCTCCTGGACTTGTATAGTAGGTGTTCTGTAGGGCCCAGTAGGTCAGCTTTCCCAGTCACCAGAGCTGGGCATTCCAGGTGTGCCCTGTGTGAGCTGTGTACACTGTCCCATTCTAGTTGAGCCTTAATTACTGTTGGCATCACTGGGAAGGATTGACCCCCTGGCTGATCGGCTGTGAGAACCAGTTTCAACTACAGCAGAGGAGCTGCTATGCAGGAGCCAATCCTATGGAGTAGGACTTGCTTCAGTGGGGCTTTGGTGTTCACTGAGTCCACCCCTTGAGTCATTTGTGGAGGTGGAAGGGTTGTAGTCTGGTGTGGTCGAAGTTGAACACCAGGTGCACTGGCTCTGGGGCCCCCTGGGAGGTGCAAAGTCAGCCTCTGCCTGTGTCCTGGCCGGGGCCACCCAGCATGAGCTACAAGCAATCTGCATATGGCTGCTACTTGTGTTGAGTCTGGAGGTGCCCAGAAGAGGCCAACCTGTGGACCAGGGTAGGCTGCCACTAGTGCCGGGCCTGGGGCCACTGATGAGAGGTTTGGGGTATGCTGATGCCAGCTGCTGCATATTTGGAAGATTTCAGGAAAGTCCAAAGCATGAGGTGAGAGGGGCCAGTTGTATGGAAAGGCCACTGGAAATGACTTGGATGAGCCTGCAAGTAGGGAGAGGTGGGGTCTCAGGGAATCATCAGGCAGAGTGAAAAGTGAGCCAGGATGATGGAGATTCAGATATGGTGCAGCCTGTCCATTCTGTGGCAGGGAGTGTTCAGTAAAGAAACACTGGCCTCTAAAGCTGCCCCTCCAGCTCTTGCCCTGATTCCAGACAAGTTAATTCCTCCCTGAATGTCCCAGTTTCCTTTCAAGCTGCTTCCCGGTGCTGGAGCTCAGGGGGAGTCCAAGTCCGCAAGGACCCTTTAAGAGGAACTGTCTGGGACTCCCACAGCCTCCATGTCACTTAGCCACAATCCCTGCTGGTTTTTACAGTCAGAAGTTGTGGGGACTTCTCTTCCCAGCACTGGAACCCTGGGCTAGGGGCCTAGTGTGGGGCAGGGACCTTTCGCTCTTCAGGGAAACTGCCACACGTGGGTTCCACTATTCTACCCCTCATCTCCACCTATACTATCAGTCTGGATGTGCTGCTTCTTTAATTCCCTAGTTGTAGGACTACCGTTCAGCTAGATTTCAGGTGGTTCTGAATAATGGTTCTGTATTTTAGTCAAAAATTTTGATGTGATTGTGGGAGGATGTGAGTACCATGTTTACCTATGCCACCATCTTGACCAGACCTTCTAAAGTATTTATTGATGGGTATGTTATTGCCTTTTTTCCCCTGATTGTTTTTATAGGTCTTTTCCTTTCTTATTCTATCTTATTCAATTACTTAGAAATGGAGACATATTTTTCAACTACTTTATGAGGTGCCTTCAAAGGGAACAAAGCAAAATGATTACTGTAATTTCTAAAAAGTCATGTAATCATGAAACACTTGAGATCACAAGGAGAAAACAGAACTACTTTCACCAAAATATTTGGAAACCAGACTAAAAATTACAGAATGGAGCCATGTAAAAACATTCTTTTGTTAAAAATTTGCAGTTTTTGTTCTATTCAAATATCTGCCGAGTGTAAAAGTTCAAGAAAGCGATTTAAAGTGAGTTATGATTTATTAGTCACAGAGGTGGCACATATACAATTTATTTGTATAAGTGCTATTCACCTAAAAAGGCTGGATTAGTCTTTTACCTTGCTAGCATATTCTTTAAATGTATGGACTATATTCCAACTTATTAATCACTGATATTTCAACTACCTGGTCATTTAAAATATTTTCTTAAAAACAAAATACAAATTACTATGGTAAAATAGCTTTAAATGTTCAGTAATGAAGTCAGCTAGTCCTCATTTTTTGCCACCTAACACAGTGTAATGTCTGCTACATAACACTGTCTTCTAATTTCCACAGAATCTTTTGAGCACATGAAGAAATCTGGGGATTATTATGTTACAGTGGTGGAAGATGTGACTTTAGGACAGATTGTTGCTACAGCAACTCTGATAATAGAACATAAATTCACCCATTCCTGTGCTAAGGTATGTGTTCACATTAATGCTAATGAGCTAAAATGGGCAGATGTGTTTTTTTTTTAGCAAAACCTATGTTGAGTTTCCATTAGACAAATCTGTTTTCTCACTACTTTTCATTGTAAAATGAGAGGCATATTGCCTTGAAAAAGTTCTGCTTCCTAGAAATCTCTTATTAAGAGGCAATTTCCCACTTTGTTTTGAGGAAGAAAATGTATTAACAATATGAATTGGGCCTGGCCATGGTGGCTCAGTGGTTGAGTGTTGACCTTTGAACCAGGATGTCATGGTTCGATTCCCGGTCAGGGCACATGCCCAGGTTGTGGGCTCGATCCCCATTGTGGGGCATGCAGGAGGCAGCCAATCAATGATTCTCTCTCATCATTGATGTGTGTTTTTTTTCTCTCTCTCTCTCTCTCCCTATCCCTTCTTCTCTGAAATCAATAAAAATATATTTAAAAAGTTAAAAAACACACAATATGAATTGTTCGCTAGAAATTGTTCTGTAAGGTATTCAATTTGATATGGTCATAGAGAAAACAAGAAAGCTTTGTGAAACTTGGCAGTAATCTTTAGACTCCCCAATGCTGGTTTTTTTTAAAAACAGTATTTTGAATATACTACACTAAGACAAATTCCCATCAGTTTCCAAATGATAAAAGGTTCAGAATACCACATTCTTTTCTAATTGTGACATTTCTAATGCCTATAGAGCCCCTTTATTCCTCATGACTCAACATGAAATAGTAAAGGTAGGAACATTTGGAATGTTTTCTGTAAGTTAGGAATTTTGGGGCTTTTGTATTAGAAATTAATAAATTGTATTTGGATGTCTGAAATAAATTGCTGTTAAGCAAGAAGTAGGATGATGGATTAACAAAATTACCCTTCGGTGCTTCAGATTTTGAGAGTTGCTTTAAAACACTGGGGTGTGGAGGTTCAGGATATAGACAAAACAAGATTAGACCACAAGTTGATTCATTATATTATTTCTTCTATAAAATAATTTGCATTTTAGTTTATGTTAAGTTCAAGTTCACAAAACACTTATTTTTGTCTGAATTTTTACCATCCATCACTTGTTGATTTATCTAAAAACAAAACTACATGTTTAGTCCTTTAAACACTGTAAATATTTTCAGAGAGGAAGAGTAGAAGATGTTGTCGTTAGTGATGAATGCAGAGGAAAGCAGCTTGGCAAATTGTAAGTAAGCAGAAACAAGGTAATCCTGGATAAATTACAATGCTTTTTGTGTTTCACTTTACAGTTCTTTGCCAAGATACTTGTTAAACATATTTTGCTGTTTGAAGTTCTTTCTGGCGTCATGAATTATGAATCCATTTTTACTCTATGACTGAATTTAATGAAAGCAAAGTATTTTTACATTAGTTTTACCATAAACTTTGGAAATTGGAAGTGTACCATTTTGCAGACAGTAACATCTATAAATTAATTTTTAATAGTCAAATTCTCACACGAGTAGGAAACAGAAACTTTTGGCTGAGTCAGGTGATTTCCCCATTTCTCTGTCATATTTTAAAACAAAGTGTTCTCAGTCTCCTAAGGTGTAGAAACATATTGAAACAGCCTTTACTGTATAATCCTTTATACATTTACTTAAAACTTTTAAAAACAGACCAAATTCTAATATTCTAATCTTCACTTTGTGATATCCTTTATAATTTTATAACTTCAATTAAGATGTTCTGTATGCAAACATGAGAAAACACTTCAGGTAAATTTTTATAGATTTTTTTTAAGTTTTTTAAAAACTCCTAAGGCAGTTAGAATCCCATTCATATACTGGAAAGAAGTATACTTTTTGCTTTCTTTCTACTTCATATTAGTTAAACCAAAACAGAGTTAATCTCATAGCTACTTTCACAAACATTAGAGTCACTTTAAAAATGATAAAGAACAAAGCTATTACCCATTTTGTGTAGGAATGTTGACTGTTCCTAAGAAGTTTGAATAGATTTAGAGAAAAACACTTAAAAAAATAATATAGGCCATATTTTTTAAATGGTTGACAATCTTTAGTGTTCATCATCTTAAAACTTATTTTTAAAGAGGGTTAGGGTGAATTTAGTATATGTCCCATTCATTAACTGGCTGAAGATTATCAGATAATGTATATTTGAAACAAACTAAAATGCTTTCAGTGATTTAAATGCTTATCCATTTACAATATTTAAATAAATACATAGAGGGAATGGCCATGACCTAAACCTATTTCTAATATAAATTTGAAATTTAATGAAATATTCATATTGTTACTAAAATCTATTTCTATTAACAAATGCTCTATAACTTCTCCCTCCTTTTTTTTTTTTTTTTTTTTTTTAAATTTCAGGTTATTATCAACCCTTACTTTGCTAAGCAAGAAACTGAACTGTTATAAGATTACCCTTGAATGTCTACCACAAAATTCTGGTTTCTATAAAAAGTTTGGATATACAGTATCTGAAGAAAACTACATGTGTCAAAGGTTTCTAAAGTAAAAATCTTTTAAGAAAGACATTTGTCAAGGGAGCTAATGCAACAAGGTTGTATATCCTTCCTAAAGTTAAAATAGTTTGCTACAACCCAGTGACCTCCACAAATAGTGGGTTGAAAAATATTGTAGTACAACAAATATGACATTTAGAAGATTACTTTGGGCTGGTGGGACATTCTGTGAGTTTAGATTACAAATGAATATTATAGAAGATGATTTTTATTCAAAGGAATATATTTTTAACTTGAATCTTTTCTTGCATTGTATTTTTCTAAAATTTGGCTTTATTTCTTGGTAGACTATAGGAGTTATGTATTTGCTATCTGTGTACTGCTCATTTTAAGAAATGCATAAAATGAATAAGGCTGTTTATCACATTCTTAAAATTAATATTTTTGGTTCAAAGAAACATTTAAATATGAATTAATGTATGCCATTTCCCATGTATTACTTGAAATTGGATACATTAGACATAACTAAATGTAATACTGTACAACATGTGTTGATCCTAATGCTGTATTGACAAATAACCTGGCCAGTCTTTTAAAATAGAAATGAAAATTAACTTATGTGATAAGATTCAAAATAAAATAATGTAAATGTACATCTAAATGTTTATATAATTCTAATGTAGGCAAAGTGCCACCTGTGTTATGTGTAAAATATAATTTTTATTTAAAGTACCTAAAAGCAAATATAAGGTACTTTAAAACAATGAATTAGCAAATTCTGGCATACAATACAACTATTATTCTGGTCTGATTTTTTTTTTAAGTAGAAGTAGACATATTAGATATGTCATTAATGGTTCTAATCTTTTGCATTCCATGTTATATTAAACCTGTTCTTATGATTAATAGCCTTTTGTTAGAATCCTAATGTCTGTGCTTTTCTTGAGTCTTCTTTTGAACTATTATGTCAAGTCATGGTTCATAACATTAGTTTTGTGTACTCTTTATAAAATGAACTTGGAAAGCAAAGATCACCTGTTTCTCATCCCTTTGACTCAGACCTACCTCAACTGGATTTTGGCTTTCTCTCCAGGCAGTAAGTTAAAGTTGGTTTCTAAAAAACCATAGAAACCCAGCCCTAGCTGGAGTGGCTCAATTGGTCGAGTGTCATCCTATGCACTGAAAGATCACTGATTCCTTTCCCAGTCAGGGCACAAACCCAGATTTCGGGTTTGATCCCTGGTTGGGATGTGTATGGGAGGCAACCAATTGATGTTTCTCTGTAACCTTGATCTTTCTCTTTCTCACCCTCTCTAAAATCAATAAAAACATATTTAATAAATAAATGAATAAATAAATGAAACCATAGAAGCCCTTCACCAATAGAGGGTGCACTACTACCTACTGATGACCTGTATGGATGAACTGAACTGTCTCTCATGAAAGCAACAAAGCTAGTTTTGCCTTTACTGGAGTTCCCACAACCTTGCCATGACAGTAGCTTTACCAAGTACATCCATGTTAGAAAATAAGCCTAATAAAAGGCAAAATTTATTACATTTTTGAGCACTGAACAATTTGATGTAAAACTATCTACAAAGTTGGCATTTCAACAAATTCCTTTCAGTGGTTCTCAACCTTCCTAATGCTGCGACCCTTTAATACAGTTCCTCATGTTGTGGTGACCCCCAACCATAAAATTATTTTCGTTGCTACTTCATAACTGTAATTTTGCTACTGTTATGAATCGTAATGTAAATATCTGATATGCAGATGTATTTTCATTGTTCACGACCCACAGGTTGAGAACTGCTGCTTAAAATGGTGTTCTTAAGGTCTTACTTTATATCCCCCCTAAAGGAAATAGTTACAAGCAAGGTATAGAATATAAAAATTGTGTCATGAGGCCAGAGAGCAGGCAGACAGCTCGGGGTGTGGGGGATTGGAGGAGTGGAGGGAGTGAGCAAAAAAGAAAGAACTCATGGACAACAGGGTGGTGATTACAGGGTGGTGGGGATGGAAGGAGGTGGAAGAGGGCATAGGATAATGGTGACAGGAAAAAAAATTTTTTTTTTAAATTATGTCATGAGGAGAATAATGTTCTATATTAGTTAGTTAACCAGAGAATGTTTATGATTTTCTAAGCCACATTTTAAGTAAATTTGAGTAAAAACATGTTATTTAACTATATTTACAAATTTGAGCATTGTTTGCTTTTGAAAAAGTATAATGAAGTGGAAGGTGCGATTTTTATTGTGCCCCACATATGTGTCTATTTGTATATCATTGATTCTACTGGTAAGATGCATTTTTTGGACATGGTAACATTTTGGAAATCTGGGTATATTTTATGATCAAGGGCTTGTCATAGTTTATTCAGTAATATTTTGCATTTTTAGTGGTATCTAAAATATTTGGTGTAGTAATGGCATATTTGATGAAGAATAGTATGTAGGTGGACTAATGAGGGGAAGAGGTACAAAGCAAGAAGTATTTTTTTAATGGGCTGGAAACTGCATAGATCACCTACCATTTCTTTTAGAGATGAATTTCCTCACTCCCAACTTTAAACTTGATCAATTAAAAATATACTTGAGCTGAAATTTGCACCTTACATTGATTACTGACCATAGTTTGTGTGTGTGTGTGTGTCCACAATGTATTGGAAGATACTCTTAAGTGCTTATCAATTTCCAATGTTCATTTACCCTCCTTAATCTGTGGGAATAAAACTAAGTTACTTCTCCCTAGAAGCCAACAATCTAAATAAAGAAGTTCTGAGGCATAAGCAGTATAAATGAACTTTTCAATCGTTTTGAGGTATAACGGCACAATAGTTTTAATACAACCACCAATCTTCACAAAATAATTTTAATACTTTGTATCTGGGCTAGCAGCATTTCGCACTGTGACATTCCTATACATACATAAGCATTTTGTCTAAGTACAAATGTTAAAAGCAGAGTAACTTAAGCAATTGCCTATACAAAGGTAAGTAGACACTGTAGGTTATTTGTCTTGAATTTTTGCTGCATAGTAAATTGCAATTACATGTCAGTATAATGTACTGATCTATAGAATACACTTTGAATTGTGAGGTATGGCAACTCCCTATAAAGAGAGCTAACATGTAAACCTGAATATTTTGAGTGATTTTTTTTTTTTTAGCTGCCATGGATGGGTAAGACAAAGAAATCCAGCATTCAAAGACCTTAGAAACATTTTTCTGACCAAAACATAAAATAAAATCTTTTAATAATTCTCAGCTATTTCCTAACGTTTCCTTTTTGGAGCACTGTTCAATGAACAACAATAAAGTAAATACTGAAGTGAAGTGAAGCTAAGTTTGTTGTGGAAGTGTGGGTTAAGCCAGTTATTGGGGGGGAAAAAAAAGAATTCACCAGGTAACTGCTCATTTACTTTACATCAGTTGAGACTCTGATATATATGCATATATATGCATCCCAACTTTATAATTCAAGATTGCAGTTGAATACTTCTAATTCACTTGAATTACCAGGGTAATAAGACAATTAGAAACCTTATATTTTCTTAAAAAGGACATGCTTAACATTTTGACATTACTTCTAAATTCAGCTGAAACAAAATCCCCCTGAAATACATATTCTACTCTAAAAATTAAGTGGTTGAGAGTTTGTAGCAAAAGCTATCACGATTTAACATTTCCACCATAGAGTAGATACAAATAAAAGTAACTGCTGTTTAAAATATCTAGTAGATGAAATAATATAAACCAATTAACTGATATTAGGTTAGAATACTGCCATTCCAGTTTGAATATTTTCAATATTTAAGTTTCTCACTTTCAAAATGGACAATAAAACAGTTGTCCTATGTTTTGAGGCAAATTCACTTTAAATTCTATGCCCAGATGACATATTTAATGTTTACAATTGGGAACTATGCCACTTATACATTATTCAAATATTCTAGAAAATAAGTCATGATTGGTTAAATGTATCATAGTTAACTATCACAAAACATCAGTAGAAATAAAGCACAGAAATGGAACTAAATAGAAGAAAGACTGGAAGAGCTACCAGTTAAACATTAGGTGGAAGAACGGATCCCAGATAAAATGAACTTGCAATGTTCTTAAATGAAGGAAAGAATATCATTTTGTCCACATTAATATTGTACTCATGACAGTCCCTTTTCCTAGTGTTGTGATAGAGAGTCTTTAATGTACAGTGCTGGGCAGGCACTTTAGTGAGAACATAAAAATTATAGTGGTTAGAAAAAATGGAAAATTATCAGCTATAAATAACTAAATCTGTATTTTTTTGGCCCAACTTACTAGAGAGGATATGTATACCTAAGAAACTAATTTTAAAAATCTTTACCTCATTTTTAAAGCCTAAATGTACTACTATGAAGATCCTTTTGAGCAGACTTTCTGCTGAATGAAGCATCATATATTATTAGATTACAAGAGAGATCTTTGCTGACTTATCCAATAGTGATCTATTTACAGGGAAGCTGTGTTATCTGGCACTTTACCAACTGGAATTTCTGAACACTCAGTGCAAATTTTGACTCAACTAGCCAACCACACCAAATGACATAATCACACAACAAAATACAGACCACAATGGAATTAACATGTTGTTTTCAGGGTCATAAAATAGAGAGAGGGAAGGGAAATCAGAAGAGGAATACCACCTGGGTCAACAGGAATTGACTCTTATTAACAAAGCAATTTTAATTAATTTACTCTTGCTATGCTTGATAAAACACACTTTTACTGTATTATTACATTTTAGGGAAGAAAGCCTAGCAAGTAACTTGGTGTAATGTCACTTTGCATAGTACCTCTTGGTACCAAGGGAATGTATGGAAATCATTCCCATCAGTAAAGCACCTCAAGAGAGGACTGAGAAAAGGGAGAAAGGAGTTTTGTTTGTGCTAACCTAAATCATCAACTATAAAAAGTTAAAACACTCCTCCCTCACATTGTACTTAAAATAGCAAAAGTGTTTTTGTTAAAACAATTGAAAGTGACTTTGCTAATGCAAATTATAGGGCAAATTTGGATTAACTCAATGTAAAGAACTGATTCATACACAAATTTAAAATACACTAAAGTCTCCCACAAATCATTTTCCTCAATAAATGCATCTTCAAAGAAAAGCTTCTGTCTGAGCCAGAACAACCTCAAAGAATTATTAGGATAATATAAAATAAAGGAGTAAATATTTCCCCAAATTATTTACTGAAGTTTCTTCAAGCCTCAGACTTTCAGTTTAAACTAATTTATGGGTTTAAAAAGTTAAAGAAAAATGTTAAAAATTTTTCAATGTTCTACATACTCATTTAGAGGTCATGAGGATTTATTTATTTTTTAATGATGCAAGGCACTTTTCTTTTTTGGGATTCATTTAGGAAAAAAATGGTGCTACATTGGTTTATTATAGTCTATTTAGAACCATTTTGGACAAAAAATTGGGCTAAGCAACTCTAAAAAGAACAAACAACATTTGGCTTCTAAGAAATGTGAAAAGAAAGTCACTTGAAAATCTAACACTCTCCTTGTTTTTGAGCATCTGGTATAAAGCAATGCATCTTTTGTTCATTAGATATTTTTCTTCTATAGACTAAATAAATTAGAAAGGTAATAGGAAAGGAAGCAATACTTGGATCATCTTAAAGTAAGAATAGTTGGCTTATTGTCATGATTTCAAGATTAGTGATAAGGGATGAAGATGTTTTAAAAAATAAAAAGGTTATTAAGCTATTTAATTATAATAAAAAAGAAAGGTGACAGGTTCCTGCATTTGTTAATGTTTCTGTAAGAGGCTCCATCATAAAATTGAACTGTAAAATTATTTTTTTAAATGTAATATATAGAACACAAAATGAATTTTTAGCAAACTTTAGGAAATTTTGTTATAAATTACCCAAATTTTATAAACAAATTCCCCTAACTTTGCATTTTGTTTAAAGTAGTAACTTTATATCATACAAATAAATTTCAAGTATGAAAAGTGCATTATTGCAATAATACCTCTTTGCAAGTCCAAAATTTTAGTTTATAATAAAACTGTAAAGTGTTAATAAAAAGAAAAGGAGTAAAACCATCAGTGCCATCTATTGCAGAAATCTTACAATGTTGCTTAATAAGTTGTAGAGAAACACATCTGGAAGCAACATATAATTGAAAAGAAACTACTTGTGTTTTTACCACTTTACATTAGTATTGTCTGTAGTGTTTCCTCCTTCCCAAATAGAAATTCACATCCTCTATGGTGCTCTTGAGTCAGCCATTCTGTGCAGTAGCCACTTGCATGCTTCCAAAATCATCATCTTCTTCATGTGTTCTCTTCAAACTGCCTAAATGTATTGCATGAACATAACATATAATGGGAACTTAAATTTATTAGAAATGTTATACCTAGTAAGTTTCATTTTTATTGAAGTGTTGCCATGTATATATGCACTAAGACAATTCCATGACTGAACTTTCAGCAAACTTTAGTAAATTCTCTTGTTATGAATTACACAAATAACTTTGTATCTTCATAACAGAATACATTTTCCCTCTTGAGAATTAAGTATGTCTTAGGTGTTGTAAATGATAAACATTAATTTTTAAAGTAGTTTGAAATAGAAATTTTAGAGGTAATGGTACAGAACAATTGATTATCAAGTTTATTTTTTTTAGGCATCATAATCATGTGACTTAGGACATAAAATTTAAGAAATTAATTTTAAATTTGTACAATTTTATTTTGCAGATATAATTATCTTTGCTTTCATAGATGCTGCTGAAAATATTTTTCCACTGAAGCTGTGTTTTTTATTATCAACAAGTCTAGAGCTGGGAGAAAGGACAGCATGCAGCACATAAAGCAGAGATTTTCTTTTATCCACTCTTCACATCAGAGTCCGCTAGTACAGAAATTTTCCACATGGAATCAAACCTGTCACTATACGGCCAATAGGTATAATAAAAAAAATCTGAATCTCAATGGAGGAAAACTTTAGGGAACAATGACTAGTAAAATGGTGCTTTATTATATGCCTAACAATGGGATGGCCTTAAATTTATGCTCTAACCGTTGCGCTAAATCACATTAATAATGTTAATTCAGAGGGCAGATTCCAACATGAAATTAATCTGTCACTATAAGATTAATCAAATAAGGACAGAAATATAAACCAAGACAGTGGGATAAAGAAGAAAACATGCTAGACAAGGCTAAGTACCGCTGCTGCAACTGAGTGTCAGAGAAGGTGCTGCACCTTCTACTTTTGTACCTTCTACTAAGGGAGGTAAGGTACAAATAACCTTAATGCAAGGCAGAAAGTGAGGAGTATAGATAGAGCAGTTTCAATGATGGGATTAGAGGAAGAGTAAGTTAATCATGTTTTCTTGAGATGATGCATGAACTAAGTTTTTAGGAACAGAGAGACTAAATGTGATTCTAGGTGGAAAAAAAAGAGGTGAAGAAAAACATTATGGAGTGCATAATAACAACGAGAAACAGGCCTTGGCGGGGTAGCTCAGTTGGTTAGAGCATGTCCACATATACCAAGGGTGAGGTTCGATCCCTGGTCAGGGCACATACAAGAAACCACCAATGAATGCATAAATAGGTGGAACAACAAAGCAATGTCAGTCTGTCTCTCTCTTCCTCCCTCTCAAAAAAATCAATAAAATCATCCTCGGGTGAGGCTTAAAGAAAAAAGAGCAACAGTGAGGGGTGCAAAAAAAGATCAGAAGAGACTTTAATTACTACCTATGACACTATCTATTGTGTTTTCTTCTGTAGGACTTAATCCAATGAAGGCTTCTGTACAGGAAAAATATCACAATTAGAACTATCTTTAGTGAAAATGAGTCTGGCCACAATGTTCAAACAGACCAAACGAAAAGACTTTGGATAGGAGGCCAACATGGGCCTGAACTAGATGGAGACTAGGAATACTGTAAAATAGGGAAGTAACTTTAAAGGTACTGAGGAAACAGACCCTAGCAGATTGGATAACAACTAGATGGAGGTAGCAAAAAAAAAAACAAACAAAACAGTTAATGGCCCTGGCCGGGTGGCTCAATGGGTTAGAGGGTTGTCCTGTTATGCCAAGGTTGCAGGTTCAATCCCTGGTCAAGGCACATATAAGAATCAACCAATAAATGCATAAACAATTGGAACAACAAACTGATGTCTCCCTCTCTCTCTCTAAAATCATAAATTTTTTTAAAAAGGGTTAAGGACAACTAGGAAGCTGAGCCTGAAGGATGAATATATAAAACTGTCACAACAGGCTGCGCAATACAGTGAAGAAAGTGCTGGACTGACTTGTGGTTCAGATCACAAGTGCTCAGTTTCCAGCCAAAAACACAGTAGGAATGTAACCTGTTCTTCCTATCATATAAGTCTGTTGATTCTAATGAAAATGAAATGAACTTTGGGAGAGAAACACCATAAATGAGCAAATTCTATGAGTGCTCCAGTAAAGTAAAAAGAACAGCAAACAAGTGTAACAAGATCTTGGGAAGGAAGGTGAAAGTTAAAAGATTGTGAGTGTGTGCTTGAGTCATTACCTTTGAAAATGGGCGAGGACTCTGAAATAGGGAAGGGAGAAGGGCTTGAACATCCATAGCAAAAGAAAAACTTGAGGTAGTTGACATTAATCACTCTAGCTTGAAACATACTTTCATTTATTAACTATCATTTATTCTTAATAAGATCACCCCTTCACCAGACTTCTCTTATTATTTTAATCTAAGTGGCAACACAGTTATACTACTTAGAGATTTAAAATGAAACCAAGTAGAAATTTGATCTTCTAATCAGCTTACACTGATTAACCAGTTAGTGGTGTGCACACAGCAGATAAGACATATTTATTCATATAAAATTAAAATTTGAAATTCTTTTTTTATAAACAATTTAAATTATTAGTGTAACTTGTAACGAGCAAAATATGATTCTTTTCTACCTTTCATGTACTATCATCTTTCTCCCCACAACTTTCTCAAAAATGAAAAAACCCTTACCTGCGGTACCAGAATGAACAGATAATGACCTTTCTATCTGGAGTGGTGACATCATCTGTATTGTTAATTTTGCTAGGTAGATGGCTTCATATTCCTAAAATATAATTTTAATTAACTTCAATATACATTTAAATTCTTGGATACCCAAAACAGTGGTTGATGTGTACATTATTAGTATTCTTAAGTTTATACCAAAAAATCTGGTACCATTTTATTGTAAGAGAAATGCAGGCTTAAAATTCTTACCTCATAATGTCACATTTACTGATGAGACTATAAATCAAGGCAGGCCAATAGCTTGCACTAGGGCAGTGATGGCGAACCTATGACACGCGTGTCAGAGGTGACACGCGAACTCATTTTTTTGGTTGATTTTTGTTAAATGGCATTTAAATATATAAAATAAATATCAAAAATATAAGTCTTTGTTTTACTATGGTTGCAAATATCAAAAAATTTCTATATGTGACACGGCACCAGAGTTAAGTTAGGGTTTTTCAAAATGCTGACACGCCGAGCTCAAAAGGTTCGCCATCACTGCACTAGGGTATCACACACTGAACTACCAATTAATATGTATTGGGGCATTAGGATAACAAGTACGATACTTTCACCACTATTACTTATTGTTCTGATAGAATGAAAATTCAATGAGAAAGCAATATAAAATTAGCAAAGTGGCAAATTATAAATTGAAGATGAGATTAAAAGCTAAGTTAATCAACTAGAAAATTTCTTAGAATAAGAGTTTAATAAGGTTGCCAACTGAAAATGTAATAAAAACTAGTAGCTGTCCTATATACAAATAACCAAATAGAAAATACACGGGGAGAAGAAACAATTTCACTTATAATGGGAACAAAAAAGTACCTAGGAATAAATTTCATAAGAAATGCATATATTCTGTACAGAGAAAACTTTAAAACACTAAAAGATATAAAAGCTGATTTGAATAACTGGAACATATTCTTAAAGCAGAAGACTAAAAATTTAATGGAGCCATTTCTTTCTGAACTGTGAATATATCATTAAAAACTATAAAACTTCTTCCAGTAAAGTTAACGAAGAATATGAGGGGGTCTTGAGTCATACTATAAATTGTTTATATATTATAGTACTTAAAATTGTTTGATACAGGTAGAGCAATAAGCAGATCAATGGAAAAGAATACTAAGTCCAGAAATACACCCAAGTACAGAACAGAATTCACTGTATAATAAAAATAGCTTTTCAAATCAATTAGCTAAAGACAGATTTCCTTAAAAGAGCTCTTAAAAAACCAATGAGAAAAAGACCTGCAACCTGTATGGAAAATGGGCAAACAATAAGGAGTTGCACTTTACCACCAATATGACAATAACCAAAAAGTTTGTTAAAATACTTTTGATTACTGGTATTGTTTAGAGGATGGCGAAACAGGTCTCCTTGTTTTTGGGTGTGTTAAGTTTACATTACTTCAGTCTTTTTAGAGTTAATTTGATATCACCTTTCAAGTGCCCTCTAACCCAGCAATTCCACTCTGATCAGTTATCTTACAGCAGGGGTCCTCAAACTACGGGCTGCATGCAAATACAAATATTGTATTTGTTCCCGTTTTGTTTTTATACTTCAAAATAAGATATGTGCAGTGTGCACAGGAATTTGTTCATAGTTTTTTTTTTTTAAACTAAAGTCCGGTCCTCCAACGGTCTGAGGGACAGTGAAGTGGCCCCCTGTTTAAAAAGTTTGAGGACCCCTGTCTTACAGGTATATTCACAGAGAGATGCACCTATTCTTTCCAATACTGTTTATAATCATCAAAGGCTAGAAACAATCTAAAGGCCCATGTTAAAAGGAAGTGGTCATATAAAATTGTTATATATGTACATATACATATAAAATATTTTTTAGATAGAGCTATACATGCTGTTTTAGAATGATATACTAAGATATACTATTAGGGAGACTTATTTTTCATTGTACTCTCCTTAGGCATTGTTGAATTTTAAATTTTTAAACCATGAGTGCCTATTATTTTTTCAAATCAGTTTAAAAAGAGATGTTTTTACACAACTGTTAAAAGGCAAAGAAACTAATAAATTACAGTTAACTTTCTGTTCTATAATATAACTATAAGGAAGAAATAAAAAACATTTTACACAAACAAGGTGAGAAAAGAGATACCACTGTTTCTCTTTTAAATGAAGTAAAAGAGAAAAAAAAAACACTCATAGACAGACAACCATATGGTGACTACCAGAGGGAAAAGAAGAGTTGGGAGAGGTAGAAGATGGTAAAGAGGTAAATGGTGATGAAAGGAGACTTGATTTGGAGTGGTAAACATACAATACATATACAGATGACGTATTATAGCATTGCATTCCTGAAACATGTATAATTTTATTAACCAACTAGAGGCCCGGTGCACAAAAATTTGTGGACTGGGGGGGGGGGGGGCGTCCCTCAGCCTGGCCTGTGCCCTCTTGCAGTCTGGGACCCCTCAGGGGATGTCCACCTGCTGGCTTAGGCCCGCTCCCTGGGGGATCGGGCCTAAGCTGGCAGTCAGACATCCCTCTGGCAGCCCGGAAGTCCTCAGGGGATGTTCACTTGCCAGCTGGGAGCAGACCTAAGCTGCAGTTGGACATCCTTAGCACTTCTGAGGAGGCGGGAGAGGCTCCCACACCCACCGCTGTGCTGGCAGCTGTCAGCCTGGCTAGTGACTGAGCAGAGCTCCCCCTGTGGGAGCACACTGACCACCAGGGGGCAGCTCCTGCATTGAGTGTCTGTCCCCTGGTGGTCAGTGTGTGTCATAGTGACCAGTCATTCCCAGTCGTTCTGCTGTTATGGTCAATGTGCATATTACCCTTTTATTAAATAGGATAGAGGCCTGGTGCATGGGTGGGGGCCGACTAGTTTGCCCTGAAGGGTGTCCCGGATCAGGGTGGGGGTCCCGCTGGGGTATCTGGCCAGCCTGGGTGAGGGGCTGAGGGTCGCTTTCAGGCTGGCCAATCCCCCCAGCGGGGACCCTCACCCCATGGGAGTGTGGCCAGCCTGGGTGAGGGGCTGAGGGCCATTTTCAGGCTGCCAACAGCCCCTTCAGGGTGGC